CAACTTTAAGACTTGTGGACTTCAACTCCCAGAATTCCTCAGCCAGCTTTGCTGGCTGAGGAATTCTGGGAGTTGAAGTCCACAAGTCTTAAAGTTGCCAAGGTTGGACACCCCTGCTTTATACTATCTCCAACTCTGCAATCTCTATTCAGGTAGACATTTCTGAGAGGCCAGCATCAAGAATAGAGCAACCACCACTTAAAACAAGAATGGAAATTAACCGTATCTATGTCCATTTGTGCTACAGCAACCCAAACCTTGAAATGTAAATAGGCAGACCTGAAATAAGTCAGGGAAATAGGCTACCTTTTTGATTTAAGGCAGAAATTTACTCTCTCTCTTCCTTTTGACAGACACTGAAAATCATCCACACTGCTGATTTTTCTCCTTTCGTGGTGTTCGTTGTTCCTCCAAAGCAAGCTGATCAGGTATCTAGCGGTGGGGCCTTTATGTGAAATTATAAATGCTCTTTTGAGTTTAAATGAAGAACTCTCCTTCCTTAACACTTAGCTCTCTTGAGCATAGCTTTTTACTCAATCCTTCCTCCATGGGTGCGTTATCCACACAGAGAAGATGCAGCTACCTGAATTCCAGCAATTCCTGGTTATATAACCTAAAACCTCTTAGTTGTTGTGATTTTTGGAAGATTTTGTCAACTGTGGCTTAGTGGAATAAAAGATACACACGCGAACGATTATAAAAGTTGAAACCTTTTTTTGAGTTTTTTTTCAAATCAATGGCAGGTAATCCTTGGCTTCCAACTGAACATATAATGACTATTAGAAGTTGTAACAGACTTCTCCCCCAAAAAGGTATTATACCCCGATTGCAAAATCTTGATGGCCACCCCCATCATGTGACTATATTTTGGACACTTGGCAACCAGTCCACCTTTTCCTGTTTCTGCCATTACAGCTGTAAGTCAAGGACTATTTGTTATATATTTTTTTAAAAAAATCAATCTGAAATGCATCAGTAGATAGAAGAGCAAAAGAGGAGAGTTGGCTTATTATGGTCTTCACAGATGTGTATTTTTTTTTTAAGCCGAGCATCGTTTCTTCACAGTACTTGTAAGTAAAACACCTGCATGCTGTGGCCTCACCCTTGTATTTTTCTTTCTCTACAGATAGAAGGCTTGCAGCAGCTTCAGAAGGATACAGAGGCCATCCAGAACAGATACGCCCATTACTTTAATTTGGTGCTGGTGAACAACGGTGTGGAAGAGAGCCTGGAACGGCTGCAGGCGGCTTTCGACCAGGCATGCAGCTCCCCACAATGGGTGCCAGTTTCTTGGGTGTATTGAGCTGGCAGCACCATTTAGGCCAACTCATGGCAGCATGTTGAAAGACAATAAAAAGAGCCAGCCTCTTCCCTGCTCTCTACGCTTCTGCCCGATACACAACCTTCTTGGAGCTGCACCATCGCCTGTTACTGCCAGAACGCAAGTCCAGTCCTTCCAGCTGCAAACATCCTCAGAAAAGCATCTATGGATGCAGCTTGCCTCTTTCTTTGTTCTGTATTTCCATTTATTTGCAGATGTTAGCAGCAGGGGACGGTCCCAAGAATACTCCTCTTCCGCTGTCAATAAGGTTTTAAACAGGGATACTAAGAACACATTCTAAGTAAAAGCCATAATGCCATGAATGTTAAGAGCTGTGTTTTAACGCCAACGCGTTTTCCTGGTTTTTCTTTTCCACTTGTGCTAAGAGGTTCCCTTCAAAATTCTGCATGAATGAGATTTACTCCTTCGCTCATCTTTTTGGCAGAGGGCAGAGAACTTTGAACTGATGTTGGACGTCCTGTTAAACTAGGAGTGTTTTTATTTTATTTTTTGCCTCAGTCACATAAGTGTTCTACCACTGCACCCAAGCACACCACCAAGGGGGGGGTACCGCCCTCAAATAACTACCTTTGTAACTAACAGGGATAAGCAGAAGGGAGCATGGATGACCGTGTGTTCAATCCCATGCTTTTGAGGATGCCAAAAAAAAAATATTGAAACAAATGTGCAATAAACATTCAGTTGAATCCATTACAGGGAAAATTTAACAAGTAGCAATAAAATATGATTCAAAAACGTGGCTGCGAGTTTCATTGTACCCATTTTTTATGAACATTGGAAACTGAAGGTAGAGTCCAAGGGATGCTATCAAACTTCTAAGGAAGTGAACAGTTCCTCTTGGTTAAGGCACATTGCAGTTAGCTAAACCAGCAAATACTGTGGCTAGTGTTTCCCAACCTTGGAAAATTTAAGATGTGTGGACTTCAATTTCCAGCCAGCATGCTGAATTCATATCATGAAAATTATGGCAATACTACCGTTCTGTTCTCAGCAACATGAATACAATTAATCTTGCTGATATGATATAGACAGTCCTTACTTAATGACCAGTTGCTCGGCAACTATTTGAAGTTATGACAGACCCCCAAATAGTACCAATGGCCTGGTTTTGGGAGTTTCAACAGCCCTCCTGCAGTCACAATTTCAGTTTGGATGCTTGGCAACTTAGCCATCTGTAGTATGCCATAGTGACACAAATCATGATTTGTTTTTGTTTTTTCCTTTTGCTGGTCTTTTCTGCCAAAAAAATGCCCATAGTTTTGCTTAATGACGATGTAATTTCTTTCAACCACTGTAAAAAAAGGTTGTAAAACGGGGTTGGTGCCTCAACTTAAGATGGGAATTCCAGGCTCCATTGTGGCTGTAATTTGAGGGCTAACATTATATTCCGAGGACGACAAATTTTTTTTTTTGGGGGGGGGGGGGGGGAGGGAGGAAGGGTACCATTCCTCTGGGCCTCTCTTATCTCAACTGCTGTCCATTTCTCCCTAGTTTTGCAGTAGCGTAGTCCAGCCAAAGAAAGCACGATTGGAATCAGATAGGTGAACTTTTAATTAGAAAAGCTTTTTAAAATTAGCATCGGTACTCTGCCTAGAAAGGGAGGACGGGATAAGCCTGGACCAGACCATCCTGCTGAAAGAGGTGATGCCTCTCTACTATTGTGAGCACGAGAGATCAATTTTCACAACCTTCTTTCTGGAGACTTGTTTGGGGAAGGGGAGAAAAAAATAAGTCCTTGAATTCTGTTCTCGAGTTAAACCGGATGACTGATGTCCTCCCTTCCCTTGTCAATACAAATTATCAAGTTCCTTTTTTGAAGGAACAAAAAGCTTTAGCGCCCCCTGAGTGGGAAATGTCTGGACTTGTTCTGAATCAAGGCAAGTAAAAAAAAAAAAAAAACACACAGAAAAAAGAAAAGGTTACAAAAACATTTTTAAAAACGAAGCATCTGACAGTATCTGGCTTCACTGCTTTCTCCTCTTAAATCTTCACCAACATTCAGCAGCTCTTCGGGGCCTGATAGATACAAAAAGAGGGTTGCTAACAGTGCCAACATGGAGCATCGCAGCACTCTGGAAGTCCCAAGGACCAGGGAGCGAGTCTGCTGCCTCGATTATCTCAAACTATCCTTAGAACAGGACAGAGAAAGGGGGGCTGCGCCACATTTGGCCTGCCCCAATAATTTGCACAGCAATCAGGACAAGCCTCTACACGCTGATCCAGTCTGCATTTTCTCTGCGAAGGCCTTTTGTGGGCTTTTTTTTTTTTTTTGGCCTTCCCAAACTGGTCCAGGCTGCTGGCTCTGGATGGCAGCGAGGAGTTATTCCGAACTCTCCTCTATTTCTTCTCGTTTCTTCTTCTTCTTCTTTTTCACGCTCAGATCGCTGACCTGGGGGGGAAGAAGAGAAGAGCTCAAAAGAGAGCCAAATTCCCAACACTATTCTCTGGAGAACCCAAAGATTCCCATTTTATTTCCAAGAAGATTGAGTTCCCAAGGATGTCAGCTAAAAGTCATTTGAAAGTAGCTTGAAGGTTTTCAATCTGGCACGGCAATTGAAAAAAAAACAACGTTGTGCAGTTGTGGCAACCTCCCTTTTATTGCTGTATCGCAGGGGATCTTCAAACTTGACAGCTTTAAGACTTGTGGACTTCCAACCAACAGAATTCCTCCTCCAGTCATGTTAGCTCAGGAATTCTGGAAGTTGAAGTCCGCAAGTCTTAAACTTGCCACGTTTGGAGACCCTTGCTGTATCGGATGCTGCTCTGGACATGCACACCTTGCTCTTGTAAAGGGGCCATCCCAGGTCAAGCCTGTCTTACCCCACCACATTTGCAGATGTTTTCAGTGGGTAATAGAATTATCTTGTTTTCACACAGACCTTTCTGGGATTTGCATATCTGGTTAAACCACCCAAAAATGACCAAGGTGGTAGGAAAATGCTGTAACAGGTAATCTAGATCAGTGGTCGCCAACCGGTGGGCCAGGGACCACTGGTGCTCCGCGAGAATATTTTGGTGGTCCAGAGAAATGTCACCCTCAAAGCAATTAATCCAGGCTGCGTGGGAACACAAGGCTTGTGTCACTTGCATTGCGAACAACACGAGATAGTGAGGGGAGGGGGGGAAGGGCGGAGGGGGGAACTTGCTCCACTCGCCCCACACTCCTGGCCTGGCCACTGGGGTCCTTCTTTCTGCTTCTTTCTTCTTCCGCTTTTGGCTGCACGCAAGGAAAGCAGCAAAAGTCTTTCTTTCTCTCCCCCAAACTCCCCCAGAAATGAGTCTTTGGGACCCTGCAAGGCCTCCTGCTCCAAGTGGCTGCGGCAGCACAACAAGTCTCACAAAGACTCATTTCTGGCGGAGTTTGGGGGAGAGAAAGAAAGACTTCTGCTGCTTCTGCTGTTTTCCTTGCATGAAGCCGAAAGTCTCTCTCTCTCTCCTCCTGAGAACGGAGCTGGAGACAGTATCCTGCAATCCCAAATAAAGAATGATTGATTGGTAGGGAAACGGGGTGGGGAATTTTCCTGCAGACATTTTTTTGGGATTTTCCCAGGGTCTCTGATCTGCGGGATTTAAAATTATGAGTTTGGTGGTCCCTGAGGTCCAAAAGGTTGGCGACCCAATCTAGATGACTGATCACTTAGCTGACCGTTTGACCTTCCGACAGACCTCCCTGGGAATACTGAGAACCTGGATTCAAAAATGTCCTGTCACCTGACTACACTTTGGATGGTTAGCAACTCGGCAGCATTTACGGCAGGTTGTATCATTCCATGTTTGCATTTCACATTTTTGGCAAAATCCAATATTTCCAGGGTCTTTTTTTGGCAAAACATGCCTATAGCAATCTATTGGTTCACTTAAGGACCATTGCAAGGAAGGTTGTAATATAGGTGATTACATCCACTAGTTACAACTATGCTGGACAACCTCCATTACAGTCATAATTTGAGGACTACCTGTATAAGTTTCTCTGGCCCGATGAAACGTATTGTGTGATCAGATTTACTCAATTTTCAACGGCTGAAATATTCACTAACAGCAATTAACACACCCGTGCATGTGAAAACAAGGGTGCTGTTCTTTTGACCGCACGCCCCAAGAGATCGCCAAAATTGTGGCAATGGATTACACGGGACTTACCATTTCAACTAACTCTCCGCTGCTCTCCGCAGACTCCATCTTCCTCTTTTCTTTCTTTTTCTTCTTCTTCTTCTTCATCTCCGCTTGCTCCTCTGGAGAGGCTGGGGGAGATGAAGCTACTGGTTCTGGATCTCCATCGCTCTGGATTTTTCTTTTCTTCTGAGAAAGGAAAACAAGACAAGAACATCAGAAGCCAATTCTGCAGCTGAATTGCTGCTTTTGCTCTTTCAGAAACAGAATAGCCTGTATCTGTGATCTGTGAATTCTGGTATCTTCTCTATTATTATTATTATTATTAATTAATTTATGTATTAATTAATTTATTAATGATTATTATTAAAGTGGAACTGAAGCTTTGCAAAACATTTGGTTTCAAGCTAATCTGAGCGTGCAAAACTAACTTGTTTTGAGTCTTGTTTTTTCAAACTCGAAGAACAGCTGCTCAAAGCTCAGCGCATTACCGAAGGCCTGAAGCCAAGAACTTTTTGTGCTTAAAATCATTTGAAAGACTTTGCAATAAACCAACCAACCTTTGGCATCCTCTCCGGCTGCTCTTCCGGCTCCATCTTCTCTTCTGCCTCCTTCTTTACAGAAACCCTGTGAAGAAAACAGGCGTTTTTAGTTTGCACTATTCAGCTAAGATGGAAGTGCCCATCTACCCTGAAGGAGAAATGTGATGTCTGGAAAGCTGGCATAGAAGACACCCACGTGCAGGGAGCCCGGAAGCAGCTTCCCCACGTTCGTATAGCAGGCTGACTCCCTCTAGAGCCATGGAGAGCAGGCAAGAAAGGGATAACTGCCTGCTAGCCCAAACCCCCCAAGAAAAGGACCCTCTCTCCATCTGCAGCTCCCTCTCACTTTCCTAGTGGGACTGACTTTAAGAGGCCAGAAACCAGCAAGAGCCACGGTGGCGCAGTGGTGAGAGGGCAGTACTGCAGGCTACTTCTGCTGACTGCCTGCAATTTGGCAGTTCGACTCTCACTAGGCTCGACTCAGGCTTCCATCCTTCTAAGGCCGGTAAAATGAGGAGCCAGATTGTTGGAGGCAAGATGCTGACTCTGTACACCGCTTAGAGAGGTCTGGAAAGCACTGTGAAGCGGGATATAAGTCCAAGTGCTATTTCTATTGCCCTTCCTTCCTTGTGGTTAGAATGCAGAGTTGCAGGCTAATTCTGCATTTCACTGCCAGCAGTTCGATCTTGACTGGGCTCAAGGTTGACTCGGCCTTCCATCCTTCCAAGGTGGGTAAAATGAGGACCCCGATTGTTGGGGGCAAGAGGCTGGCTCTGTAAACCACTTAGAAAGGGGCTGAAAAAGCACCATGAAGCGGCATGTAAGTTTAAGCGCTATTGCTATGGCTTAATGGCTATGCTATGGCTGCAATTTGTTACCTGTTATAATCTACATAGTCTTTTTTCCAAGCTTGTGGGGTTTTTTCGTTAGGTTTGCCGCGAGCGTCCAACAATCCTTGCTTGATCATCATCTTCTTCTGAGAAGCCTGAGGAGAAATAGGGAGACTGTTCAATTTCGACATTGCCTTTGGCTGATAACACTGTGCAAAAAAAAAAAAAAGAAGTCCCAAAATAAAAACCAAACTGACATCCAGTTTGCTGCCACACTTCAAAGATGGTGAGAGCTCCACAGATATCCAAATGGATATCCAAAAGGTCAGGATGGCTGTAGGTGAGCTGAAATCTCCAACTCTTGCACGCCCAGCCCAGGTAGAGAGCCATCAGTCTTGGGTGATAGATGGGTGTAATCTTTGCACTGAGTGCTCATTGAGCTATTTAAACATCATTTGGCTCACCAAGAAAGGTTTAGAGTCAAGGGCTGCTCCTCAAATTGAGTCAGGCTTAAAAAAGGATTCAAAAGTTCAAAGGAAATCCCTGTTAAACAGTCCGGGGAAAAAGAGAGCAAACGCTGAGGACGCCAACACCCTCAAGTATATCGCCAAGGACCGAAAAGTGGATGACCCAACGGCTCTCTTATTTCTGGACAGCATTGCTACACAGAACCAAAATTGTTTGTGTTTAGAATCCAATGGAAGAGAATATTTATAGCTCAGGTTTGGACGTGGCGGCCTCTGAGCTCAGCTCTTTTCTTGCAGACATTTCACTACCTGACTAAGTAACATCATCATGATCTGAGGGAGGGTTGTTCAATTCTGCAAGGAAAGGCAGAGCACCAAGGAAGGCAGAGTCTCCAGAATCCGCCAGTCCTTCAGAGAAAGGCAAGTAACCCAGGGCTACCCCAAGACTTACTTTGGGACCAAGCCCCCACTTGCGAGGGTAAGTGTCTCTTTCCATGATCACACGCTTGATCTTGGCTACGATGCCATGGTCGCAGGTAGAGATCACCGCTGTTGTCATCAAAGCAACAGCTGAAGGAAAAGAGAGAAAGAGAAGATGAGCGTTCCTAACCAAGAAGTTTTCACGCAGCCTCCGAGTTCACTCTGCCATCAATTTGGGAAGGGCTTTGAGTAAAATAGAGCTGGAAGGGGCCCTGGAGGTCTTCTAGTCCAGCCCCCTGCTCGAGCAGGAGAAACCTAGAATATTTCTGATAGGTGACTGTTTACTTTCTTAAAAACCTCCAGAGATGGAGCACCCACGATTTCTGGAGGCCAGCTGTTCCACTGATTAATTGTCCTCACTATTAGGAAATTTCTCCTTAATTCTAGGTTGCTTCTCTCCTCGGTTAGTTTCTAACCATTGTTTCTTCTCCGGCCCTCTGGTGCTTTGGAGAATAATTTGACTGCCTCTTCTTTGGGGCAGCCCCTCAAATACTGGAATATTGATATCATGTCACCTCTAATTCTTCTTTTCTTAGGCTAGGCAAACCCAAAACCTGCAGCCATTCTTTGTATGGCTTAGTCTCCAGGCCTTTGATCTTCTTAGTTGCTCTTCTTCGAACTTTTTAATTCTCTGTTTGAACTTGCTGAGCAGAAATATGAGAGTTCCTCCCCAAGATAATCTTACTGCACCCTTTCTTCCTGGTGCCCTATCTTGAAACGATTCTGTCTTTAGAAAACAGATATTTTGTCCTTCTGAATTTTCACCTGGGAAACACACCAATGCCTACAAATACAAAGGAGGAACAGCTCATGCTTACCCAGCTGAGAAAAATCCCCAAGCTGTACAGGTAGTCCTCGACTTACAACAATCCATTTAGTGACTGTCCCAAGTTACAAAGGCTGTGAAAAAAATGACTGATGACCCCTTTTTTCACCCTTACGACTGCATCCCCATGGTCACATGATCAAAATTCAGACGCCTGGCAGTTGCACCGTCCTGGGGTCGTGTTCAGGGGTGGGATGCTACCGGTTCTGCTCGGCTCTATAGAACCGGTAGCTCTGAAGACCAGCAGACACCAAACCGGTTCTGTATCTGCTGCTGTTTGGCCCACCCGGGCTCTTACCTGTCCTTTATTTCCTGCTTTTTCAACCTCAGCTGCTTTGCGCGGCACAGCTGAGGTTGAAAAAGCAGGAAAAAAGAGGCTTTTCAAACGCTGCTCACCCGCACGCAGCGCTTGTCAGCTCTCCGGGCGGCACAGCTTAAGTGTTTTTTTTTACACACGCGCGCAGCAAAACATAGTAACACTGGTTGAATCCCACCCCTTGTCATGTGACCCCTTTTTGCAACCTTCTGACAAGCAAAGTCAGGTTCACGTTAACAACTGCGTCACTAACTTAACTGCAATGATTCACGTAACAAC